TCAGCACAAAAGCAGCTGCCCGAGCCTCTTCGTGCGTATTGGAACGTGCGTGAACATTTGTCCACCGACAATGGCATAGTCCTGAAAGGTCTACGCATAGTCGTCCCAGCCTCTCTGCGTGCGTCAACGCTGATCGACCTTCACGCAGCCCACCAAGGTCTGACCCGTACCAAACGACGTGCCCGTCAGACAGTGTATTGGCCCGGAATGAACAGTGAGTTAGAAACGCTAGTCCGCAGCTGTGATGCATGCCGTGAATTTCAGCCGTCTCAGTCTGCCGAACCGCCCATTTCTGACCGCAAGCCCACTTTGCCATTCGAAAGTGTTAGTGCTGACCTTTTCAGTTGCCAAGGTTGCGAGTATTTGGTATTCGTCGACCGCTTAACCGGATGGCCATGCATAGCCAAGCTTGGTCACTCAGCCACATCAGCTGACGTCATCCGTCATTTCCGCAGGTGGTTCCCAGACGTAGGCGTACCACAGGTCATTTCAACGGACGGCGGTCCTCAGTTTGCGTCTCACAGATTTGCTGAATTTTGCGAGCGCTGGGGAATCCGTCATATCAAGTCGTCCCCTCACTACCCACAGTCGAACGGACATGCGGAGGCAGCCGTGAAGGCAATGAAGTACCTGGTGGAAAAGACTACCAATGACGGTAATCTAGACACCGATGCTTTCCAGCGTGGCCTTCTCGAGTGGCGCAATACTCCTGGCACTTCGGGAAAGAGTCCTGCCCAGTTACTGTATGGTCGCCCACTCGTCTCCTTCGTTCTCGCCCAATGGAGCCAGTTCGACTCCCACTGGCAAGACACCGCATCTGACATGGATGATGTTGATCGAGTAGACCAGCCTCCCAGTCAGCCTCACCGAGAGCTCCCCCACTTGTCTATCGGGACGCACGTTGACATTCAGCACCCGAAGACAAAACGGTGGTCTTCCCGCGGCGTTGTCGTGGCTATCGGTGACCACCGCGACTACTACGTCAAGCTACCGAGTGGACGCGTATATTGGCGCAACCGTCGCTACCTCCGCCCGTACCGTCCTCCTACTCCAGCTTCAACAGCCATGCCTACATCGTCTCCCGTACCCGACGCTGCACCACAAGCAGTCCCTGTGACTCAGTCGTCGCCACAGTCAACTGTTCAGGTACCACCTCGAACAAGCCAACGTCCCCGGCGACAGAATGTCCCCTTTAACATTATTTCAATGCGTGGACAATCGTACAATTAACACTCGCTCTGTTCAGTTGTTGATTTCCGTTGTACCTACTACAGTATTCAATTGTCATTCCCGTTGTTTCGCAGTTGAAAACCTTCATGTATATAATTTTTGCAATTATCCCTTTTCTGTTGGAAGTTGCTGCTGCTCCGCGACATGTCATTTGCTACGCACATGCAATTTTCACATTATTTTTGTTGATTAGATAAACACTTGTACGTTTTTATCTTAGGAGGGGCATGATGTATATGGCATACTTCCGTATATGGTGCAACTCCCGCACCCCGTATGCACCCGCCTAGAGATCCTGCTTCCATATGCGCTCGTACACACTTTCCTTGGTGTTCGTACACACTTCCCTTTTGTGTTCGCACACTGCTTGGAATGTTGTTCTTCGTTTGTTGTCCTCCTTGCTAGTTGTGAATAAACTCTATCTGACACCACAACTACCATCAATATGGCCTTGCCGATAACACGTCGGACTCTTGGTGGCACTGCATTCTACAGTGTTGCACACTCTGGGGCAGGGAGTCGTAAAATACCGGTATTTTACGACTCCCTGCTCTGGGGGTTATGTACTCTTGGTGGCACTGCATTCTACAGTGTTGCACACTCTGGAGCAGGGAGTCGTAAAATACCGGTATTTTACGACTCCCTGCTCTGGGGGTTATGTACTCTTGGTGACACTGCATTCTACAGTGTTGCTTCTTTTCTATTTTATTCTTTTTACCAGGCGTGGGCCATCCCCTGGATTATCAAAATGGGTGCCTTATTATTTTCTTTTTTTCTTTTTCTTTTTCTGTTTATTCTTTTTACCAGGCGTGGGCCATCCCCTGGACTATCAAAATGGGTGCCTTATTATTTTTCTGAGTGCAATAAAGAGTTGTGACTGGTCCAGAAAAAAAAAAAAAAAAAAAAATTCTACAGTGTTGCACACTCTGGGACAGGGAGTCGTAAAATACCGGTATTTTACGACTCCCTGCTCTGGGGCCCGGGTTATGTACTCTTGGTGGCACTGCATTTTTTAATTTTTTGCATTCTACAGTGTTGCACACTCTGGGGCACGGAGTCGTAAAATACCGGTATTTTACGACTCCCTGCTCTGGGGGTTATGTTCTCTTGCCGTCTTGGTGGCACTGCGCAAGTACTGCATTCTACAGTGTTGCACACTCCGGAGCAGGGAGTCGTAAAATACCGGTATTTTACGACTCCCTGCTCTGGGGGTTATGTACTCTTGCTTGAGTCTTGGTGGCACTGCATTCTACAGACTTACAGTGTTGCACACTCTGG